ATTACAGTTCTTGGGCATTAAACAAGAAAAGACGGGTAGATTGGGTTGGATCTGCGGCTGAATTTGTTACATGAGTGATTTTGGAAATCCAACTTTCCACATGATACTGATGAGTAGAAAGTATGTAATTTTTTACAAAAAGGAAGCTCCTACATGCATTCTGTGTAATAGAGGACATCCCATGGAGATGTTTTAAATGATGAGTATATTATCAAGAGGAGCCCCCGGTGGCACAGTGGGTTAAAGCACTGAGCTGCTGAGTTTGCTGATCGAAAGGTCGCAGGTTCGATTCCGGGGAGCGGCATGAGCTTCCGCTGTCAGCCCTAGCTTCTGCCAACCTAGCAGTTCGAAAACATGCAAATGTGAGTAGATCAATAGGTACCGCTCCGGCGGGAAGGTAACGGCGCTCCATGCAGTCATGCCGGCCACATGACCTTGGAGGTGTCTACGGACAACGCTGGCTCTTCGGCTTAGAAATGGAGATGAGCACCACACCCCAGAGTCAGACATAACTGGACTTAATGTCAGGGGACTACCTTTACTATATTATCAAGAAGTAGCAGATGTTGAGATCAAGTTACACAGTTCTGCTTCCATGTTTTTCTTTCCCTTCTTTCCATCCATCCTTTTATTTTCTCTCTACGGTCTTGTTTTAATGGTATCAAGGTAAGGGAGTTAATTCAGAGACATCAAGTAGCTCAAACAAGGACACAAAAATCTTTAACTGCATATTCTGGTTAATTTTGTATCACCTGAAAATATTATATACTTAGTATTCTGAATACAAAAGTTTTTAAAAATAATTTATTCTGTCCCCTTATTATCACTATTGATAATTTTAAAAACTTCAAAAAACCATAAACTACCAATAAGAAAAATCAGAAGCAGCTCCTAGATGACCAAAGTAATTTTGCTTATATATGTGTGCGTGCGCATATATAGTAGCTAAACCATCAACAAGTTCAGAAATAGAAAGCTATAATCTCCAGATTAGAGTGTTCCTGAAGCCTGATCATGCAAGACAAAAAACACTCTCAATTGCCTATTTGGTAGTGAAGAACATGTAGCATTTTGTAGGCAATGCTTGCACTTCCCAGAATCAATTTCTCTGCCTCCATGTGTCGTAACAATGTGTGTATGGGATGGATTTTCATTGCACTAAATGAGTAGAAAGCATGCCAAAAAGGGCTGTTTCTTTGCCCATGCAGAACTGCAGACTGCCAATGCAATATAAAAGAACCATCTCAAATTCAAGAATGGGTTATTTGTTTTCATTTCAAGTATTATTCTGCCAAGAATACAAGCAAAAACTCAAAACATTAATTTTGTATTCACTACATAGACAAATAGATCAAAAGATTGCTTCCCATTTTTGCATCTTTTGACATGAAGGGGCTTGTGTAAGTCACTGTAGGATAATGGATTTGAAGCATTTAAAGCATTTAACGCTATTGTGATAAATATTATGAATTATTATGATTATTACTGAAACTACTACAGTCATTTAAAAGGTAATGTGAGGAAACATATTGTATACAGAAATATTTCAAAAATATACCAGTACAGGCACCAAGGGACGCTCTACACAAGCCCTTTATCCCAGACCCTGGGATGGTTTTGACAAGCCGTCTGTCCACTGTGGAGGCTGGAGGGAGTCCTGACTGTCAAGTGGCACTGAACCCATATGGTCCCTCTCCCATTCTCATCACAGCAGCCAGCAACTAGTGTTGGTCACTCTTGGCCTGAAGTAATGTTGGCGGGGGTGCCAGAGAGGAGGAACCACTCCCTCCTTTCCTCCTCTGATCGCCTCATCACTTTGGCTAGCATCACTCAAGGTGACCAGCAACCAACACTAGGCATATTGTGCCCACTGGCTGCTATGATGACAAGAACGGAGGAGGGCATACATGTTGCCTTGTTTTTCTTTTCCGCCTATGCCCAGGAAATGCAAGATGGCCATGTATATATTTTGTTATTATGGATGTATTTTTGTTGTATTCAGGCATTGAATGTTTGCTTCTGGGGAGATAGAACAGTCCCTCTGGTGAGATAGAACAGAATATAAATAAAGATTATTATTATTATTATTATTATTATTGACACAAATACACAGTATGTCACAGCAAACGAGATCTATATGCTGGATTTTGTATCATAAAATCACAAGTCGAATACTTCCCAAGCGTCTAGGACTGTGCGATGTTTTTTTGAATGATGCGCACAGATCCAAGTAAGGTGGCCTTTTGCAGTTGACAGATCATGATTTTGTCGATGATTATTGTTTCCAAATGCTGGCTGAGATCTTTTGGCACGGCACCCAGTGTGCCAATGATGATGATTATTATGTCAACACTTGTCTCTGGTTCCATCTCAGAACTCACCCAATTGTTTACATGGGCACCAAGGGATGGTTTGCTCTAGATTCTCAGGGAAAATTCAGAGCAACCCACAACTTTGGTTAACACAGTTTAAGGCAGCATTAACCTGAAGTAGATCAATGCACCGCTTAGTTTCCATTGAGCTGATTTTCCTGCCCTTCGGAATAACTGGTCAGTGTAGAGGTGCCCCAAGACTCAAAGAATAAACCCAACTGAGCTCATTTGTTTCTTGAGTCTTGATATGACACAAAGCCTAAAATAAGCTTTTCAGAAATAGGCGTTTCAGCAATTACAAACCCTGACTGGGACCACCTTCCACCTGGAAACGGATGTCCTCACTGTGGGAGGTGCTTCTTTGGGTGGACCTTTGATTTAGTAGATGAGACAAATGACGGGGTTTCCCCCCCCTCCCCCCAAGTGTTTGTCCCTGGCATCAGAAAGATTTCACAATAACATTTAACTGATGCTGACTTCAAGCCAACATAAGAAACAAGTTAAAATTGTGTTATTTGATTGAGCTATTGTACAACATTGGTTTGGCAGTAGTTTCTGATTTTTATGTGATCATTTTATTTTTTTCTTCAGTATTTGTCAATGTTTTTATTTTTAATATATTACTGATGATTTTAACTTGAAAGATAACTTAGCATATCATCTCAAATCAAAAGCAGTTTGGCTATTTTTTAAAGCAACTACTACTTTACCCCCGAATAATCATCAATGGAATACTGTACATGGGTTTTTAAATACTGCAGTGTGAACTAGGACAAGTCCAAGCATCTTGGATCAGATCCATTAACTTTGGTTTGAGTTTTCTTTCCCCCCATATCTTTATGCTGAAGTACAGCAATCTCACTCTGAAAACAGTCTCAAGTGCTAGCAGTGGGTGTTGGATCTTTGTTTAGGAAACTATGCAAGTATCTATGTGACAAATTACACAAAAAAACAAAACTGGATTTATTACAGTCCAAACATAAGAATTTCCAATCCAGCAACTTGATAACTAATATATATCTGGTGTCTTAAAATTATTACAATTGTGACAATAATGTACCACCAAATTAATGTAATATATAATGTACATACACCACTGTGTTAGAACCACAATCTTGTTCTGCCTGTGCACCATTTTGTTTTCTTCAAAGTTCTACATGACATAGCGTGCATTTTTTCCTCCCCTCTCTGGAAGAAATTAGCTTTTTCTCTGAAATCCCTTCTGGGTTCTTTTGTTTAGGAATAGCATTTCATCTAACACTGACATTTTCAGAAGTTCTGCAAAAGGAGCTCTAAGCTATTCATCTCTGGCAGGTTTGGTAAACACCTGTGATGTTGGGTTTGAGGGAGTTTGCCAGCTGAGAAGAAAATAGAATGTTTCCAAAGTGGAAACTAATTGAAAGGAGCGGGTACCATGCCTGGCTTTGGACTGCTGAGAGGGCGGAGCAATGAATTAAGAAAAAACATCCACCTGCAATCTGAAGTAGTTCTGGAATCAATAGCTTTGATGCCCATGGAGCCTACAAAATGGCTTTGGGTGGAATGAGAGATCACAGAGCTTTTGCAGGGACAGCAGTTATTAAAGTCAAGTATATGTATTTTCTTATCACCTTTGACTCACACTTGCTGGTTCCTCAGCCATATTTAAAAAGTTATGAAGGAACAGGTATTTCTATTATTTGCAACACAATGACTTCCAGTGGCATCAACCATTGAAATAAATTATGGACAAAGACATAAGAGAATCCAAGTCTCAATTTTTTTAAAGAAGAAGTGATACAAGGGGAATGGAATAAAAATGTCAATGATAGGATAGATTATGTTGCATTAGTTATACAAGAGGGGCAAACAGTTTGCTTTTAATAAATGAGGCATACTTAGAAAAATACAATACTTACTAATATATTTGTCTACATTTCTTCATCATGTTTTCTGATGAAGTTCCTTTTTCGATGTTTCTGATGTTTATTCCCCCCCTCCCCCCCAAAAGTGATTGGGGGCTGCAGTTCTTTGCTTATGAGTGATCTGGTGTGACCGTCAGTCTCCTGAGAGATTCTTGAATACCAGAAGGATCCCACCCCAGAAAGCACTGTAAATATGTTTACTAATGTGGTTGATTAAAGAGTAATGACAAAAAAGAGAGAACCATAGAGGAGAAAATGACATCGTTTTGACTGTGTTTTAAAACTTGATTAAATGAACGTTTTATAGAGTTGCTGTGGGTTTTCTGGGCTCTATGGCCATATTCCAGAAGCATTCTCTCCTGACGTTTTGCCCACATCTATGATAGCCATCCTCAGAGGTTACCTTTTGTAAACTAGGTGCGGTTTATATATCTGTGGAATGTCCAAGGTGGGAGAAAGAACTCTTGTCTGTTTGAGGTAAGTGTGAATATTGCCACTGGCCACCTGGATTAGCACTGAATGGCCTTGCAGCTTCAAAGCCTGGCTGTTTCCTGCCTGGGAGATCCTTTGTTGGGAAGTGTTAGCTGCCCTAATCATTGTCTGTCTGGAATTCCCCTGTTTTTTGAGCATTTATTTATTTCCTGCCTGATTATAGAGGTTTTTTTTTTTACAGTTATGTGAATCCATGCATACCCCAGAAGCTAAAATAAGACCAAAAGGTGGGTTGTGATATTTTATACTTTTAATGTTATTCTTTGGCTACTTCTCTCTGTAGACAGAATATGAATGTAAACATAAAAGAATAAATATACATACAGGTCACTAGTTTTGCTCCTTAAGATGCCGGAATGTTATAAACTCCCATTACTCCTAAATGTAGATCAGCGTGTCAGGATTTCTAGAGAATAAGTTAGAATAATTGCATTCAATCAAGGAAAATGAAACAAACTAAAACCCCACCTTTCTGGATTGCTCTGGAGATCCAGGTGTAATAGCAGTGTTACAAAAAAGCAGCTTTCATTTCCTCAGGGCAAGTGCTAAAAATAAACTTGGAAAAATAAGCTTTGATTGCTAAATGTTTGCATTCTGAAACATCAATAGACAAGATGCTCTAGCAATATAATGTTATATGTGTCAATTCAGGAATAAGATCAATAACATTTGCTACCATAAATGCGTGTGTAGAACTGGGATCTGCTCAGGTGCCAAACTGTTTACAACAACAAAACATGGATTAAATTTGAGAGGCACTCTTAATATGGCTTTGAATGATTGTACATTCATTTGATCGAAGTGGGAAAGAGTACTTCCTAGTGTTATACCATGTCTGTGCAGAGACATTTGGCATTTTTATTAGATTTGTGTGTGTAGGAATTGATATAGCAAAATTTCTTAGTGTCTTTCAAGGTAATTATGCATTTGCTGGCATACTAACAGTTTTATTTTTAACATTTACTTCACTGTAATATAAAGAATTTTAAGAATTGCTAAAATGGCTTACAAGAAAAAAATAACTGTACAAAATAAGTTAAGATACAAAATACAGTGCCCAGCCCTACTTTAGAAAATATCACAACTAAAACAATGCTTCAAATAACAATGGGTTTCCTTTGGAACACCAACAGTTCTCAAAGTACTACAGGTCACTTTGCTTTCTTGATTTTCAGAATGTTTCATAAATTACGATCCTTGTCAAGTTCCCTGTTCTGCTTTATCTTCTGAGGCAAGAGAAGTCGGCGTGAGATAAAGTGTTTTTAAGTGTTCCAGCATCACTTTTTCCTCCTCTTCGAGATCTTCTCTCTCTTTCATCTCCCACCTGAAATTGAAAAAAAGGCACTTCTTGTATTTCAAGAAATCAACAAGTTTTCAGCTGACATGTTTAGACTATTTGTTAAATAAACAACAGATGTTTGTTAAATGATTTCGCTGTATTTGGTAGAAGCAATATATTATTTTTAACTACATCAATATGTAATTTCTTTGTACATTCGGTACATCTAATTTATTATGGATATTTCAGGGCATGGGACAAAATGTTCTGAAAGATTCATATGTGAAGCTGAAATCACTATTGTGCATAGATTTATAAAGTGCTGATACATGCTTCCAGTACAGTTTGTCCTCTCAATTGTGTGATAGGAGCCCCTGGTGGCAAAGGGGGTTTAACCTTTGTGCCGGCAGGACTGCTGATTGATAGGTCAGCGATTCGAATTGGGGGGGGGGGGATTGGGTTGAGCTCCCCCTGTCAGCTCCAGCTTCCCATGAGGGGACATGAGAGAAGCCTTCCACAAGGATGGTAAAACATTAAAAACATCTGGGTGTCCCCTGGGCAACGTCCTTGCAGATGAACAATTCTCTCACACCAGAAGCAACTTGCAATTTCTCAAGTCGCTCGTGACATGGAAAAAAAAATCTGTGATATTAGCTATACAGGTAAAGTTGCTGTAGCACAATTATACTGCTCTGTTTGCCTCCCAGATGTCATCTCCTGGGTGTTTATTGCACTATTTTGAAAATAATACTTCACACTAATCTCAGCACATACAATAAAATCTGATGAATTTTTGGTAGCATCACTGTAAAGACAAAACTGATTTTACAAGCAATTGTAATCCAAATGGATAATTTTGCTAGAACATAGCAGCAACAGTTTTGAAGCTGGTGGAGGGTGTGCCCTTTCTACCACGTGCCATTTTTCTGTTGCAAATTTGTTACAAACTGCTCCCCATCAAATCTCTGGTGTGATTGAAGAAGTAGAGCAACAGAAAGCAGCAAATAAAAAGAAATAGTTACATTTCAAAGAAGCATGTACCACTGTTTGTCCCTTATAATTGTCCCCTCGTAAAGCAGCTTTTATACCCAAGTTTTGTATTATATGTGTTTGAAAGCTGGAAAAGTTGTGTTTAGAGACCACAGATCTCCAAATACCCCAGTCTGGAAAGTTCTGGAGTGGAAATCCTTTCCAAATAACTTTCTCACACTCTGGATTTTTTCCTTGTATTTCTGACAAATTTATATCTTTAATGTTAATCGTATATAAAGAATGTAAGAATATGTTCTAATCTAAGTGTTCTTTAAATATTAAAGAGTTTTTACTCGTAGGCTTATGGTCAGAGAAGAACCCATTATGGCAGTGGTTCCTAACCTGTGGTCCGTGTACCACCAGTGGTCTGCAAGAATGAAAATATGGTCTGCGACCTCATCATTACTACACGGTTGTCTTGAAACCACAAGGCAATGAGAGTGACTGGTCTCACAAAACCCACTTATAGTGCCGAGGCTATGGGGCTGTTGGGAGGGGAGAAGCTGACTACCCATGAAAGTTCACTACTACCACATCAGCTCTAGATTATATTAAATATGGTTTTCTGTGGGCAATCAGATGGTGACTACTGGATTGCATATGCTCTGTATCAGAAACTGGAGGTGATGTGTTCTATTCAATGCAATTTTCTGAATCCACGCCCCAAATAACCAAACCGAAGCTAAAGTTGACCAAAAGCTGATTCGTAACCCTTTTGGCATGAATGTTGGAGAGTGGTCCCTGGTCAAAAAAAGGTTGGGAACACTATATTATGGATTCAGAGAAAGGAAGATGTAAAATGAAATTGACCAATGATACAAGCCTTGCATTAATATTTACTTCCATATTTGGGAAAGTATCCTTATTTTTGTACTTTACGGTATGTGGTAACTAAACAAAAGTTGATATAGCAGCATATAACTCATTTAGTTCATACTCCAAGGCACTCTACACACATTATATTGAAACAGTTCCATGGAGATTACATTCATACAGGACTATGCCTGACCATTTCTGTATTAGTCTAGAATCAGATCATCTTATGGAGTTGGAAGGTACCATAAGGGCCATCTAGTCCAACTCCCTGTCAGGCAGGAATACACAACTACATCCTGAATGATGTCCACCCAACAAGTGTTTAAAGACCTCCAAAGAAAGAGAGTCTGCCTCTACCCCCGAGGCAATCCATTCCACTCTCAAACAGCTATTATGGTAAAGAGGCCCTTCCTTTTGGAAAACCAGTCCTCATACTGTTCAACACTTGCACCTGCGTATATGTAGCCTTTTATAGTAAACCAATTACATTCGATCTTTTATCTAAGAGAGCAAATTTTAGGTAGGAAAAACAATACAACATTATCTTAAGTAAACAGTGAAGAGATCTGCCATTGCTTCCACCAGTACCATCCTATAATGCTTTGGCCATTCTATAATACCATTCGACAGGAAATATTTAGACTGTATGTATGTGTGTGTGTGTGTGTGTGTGTGTGTATATATATATATATTATATCTTTTTTCTTGTTTTCACTAATTCTATGATCATATTATTAAGTATATTGCTGTGAAGATTGCTGTAACAAATTACTTAATTTTATAGGAAATTTTATAAATGTTTTATCGAGTGATATATAGTGCAAGCAGCCCAGTTTGAGCTGTAGCTGTTTGTTGGCTGCGTTGCCATAGCAATGTAGGCCTCCAGGCAGAAGCATAAGGGGCGAAGCTAACTGCCTACTGGTAAAAAAAGAGGTTTGAGTCTTTTTTAAAAAAGAGGTTTGAGTCTTTTAGCCGGTGAGCTAAAAGGGAAGATGGGTCCCAGCTATCAGAGCAGGACTCAGGAGTTAATTCTAGCCAGTTTAATCTTCAGCCTTAGTATTTTAAGAGCAAAAGTAAATAATTCTGAACTACAATTTGGCCGGTGTGCTCGAGTAAAAGGGATTCCCATTGATTTATTGTGACTTCAGTGTGAAGCCTGAAGTAATAGAAGTAGGAATTTGAGTTTAATGTCAGTCAGAAGGACTGAGGTGAAAAGTGCTCTTTAAGGAGTAAATATTCAGTTGAATTATAAGTAAAGAAACCATAAGATTAAACTGACCCAGTCAGGAGACTGAGAGAGAAACTAAGTTCTAAAGGAAGGAAATAAGGCACTAAGGTGGCAAAAATAAGGCTTTCTTAAAGTTTAATAGTAACAGTTTCATGTTTTCTTAGGAACAAAGAGTAAACTGTAACAATGACAAGAAAATACCATGTAACCGTCAAGTTGGTGTGAACCTGAGTAATTTTTAAATAAATATCTTTCTGTTCAGTTCAAATACTAAAGACTTGTGTCTAATTATTAAAGAAAAGATATTCTACAAAAGAGAAAGCTGACGATCCTGTGGAGCTGAATACAGTTTTATGGTATTGTGTTATACATACTGAACAGACACAAGCAGGTATTTTAAAAGTCAAACCTCTCCTAGATAAGTCTCCCATACAAGCCTCATACAAGTCTTTCTCAAGACTCACATATCTTTACTATAATAAAGTGCTCAGCCATGGTTAAGCTACTCACAGTTACATTTTGAAGATCTTCCGCAATAACTTTGGTTGTTCTATATATAGTTTCAATTGGTGGCAGCTTCATATTAATTAGTGGCAGCGCTACATATTAACTGGAGGTAGTGGTGGGATAATAAAATAAAGGTCCCCCTGCCTGAAGATTTCTGCCTGTATTTTCCTGCATGGTCTGCTTCAATTGTTATCGTACAAGATGGAATTCCTAACAAAGGAAAGGCAGGTCTAACCTTACAGCCTTGCTAATTTTGTTTCTACATACAGGAACAAATAATGTTAGAAATGTTCCTTGCTGTATGAGAATACAAGGGTAACTATGCCTTTTTCAAATATTTATATTTCGGAAGCTTGTGAAGGAAAATTCATTTTGGGGAAAATACGTATGTTCTCAACCATACTCTCTCGGCATCTCCATATAAGTCTTGATAACTTTAGGACCAAGTTATAGTTCGTCAGTCAATATTAAGATATACTCGTACTAACAAGTTGGCTGTTAGTAGAACTGGATTAGAGTCTTTTTGCTGTCCTTTACTAAATTATTTGTCCCTGTGATCAAATTACTCTCCCGCTCCCAGAGCCAGTTTTTCCATTATGAACAAATAAATGAAATACTGAAGGTCTATCAATCTACAAGAAAGGAGGTTCCATCTGAGCATTAAGAAGAATTTCCTGACTGTGAGAGCTGTTCAGCAGAGGAACACTTTGCCCCGGAGTGTGGTGGAGGCTCCTTCTTTGGAGGCTTTTAAACAGAGGTTGGATGGCTATCTGTCAGGGGTGCTTTGAATGAGATTTTTCTGCTTCTTGGCAGGGGGCTGGGCTGGATGGCCTACGAGGCCTCTTCTAACTCTACGATTTTATGATTCTATTCTATAAAGTACAACTTTCTGGTTTCTTAGAAATGATTACACTATTATTTTGAAAATAAACATACAGCAAAGCAAACAGCAGGAGCCAAGAAAACAAATTATCATTACTGTTCCAAAATGAATTTTAAAAGCCTTATGCCTCTCTTCCCAAATGGAAGACAAATTTCAACATTTACAGTACTAGAGTTGTCCGCAATGGAATATGCTTTTATTAGCATATCCAAAATGCACAGCTATTAATTTGGCAGTAACAGCTGGCAAAAATTTGCTGATCTATAAGTTCAAGTAATATGAATGAGTTCATTTTAAAATCCTGGCTCGATCAGTTTAACGGCCAACTTTCAGTCTGTCTTGCTTCAAATTAACAGCAACAATGTGGCTTTCAGTCCTTTAAACCTGTAGCTGGCACATCCTTCACTTAGGAAAACATTCAAATTTTCAAAGTCTAAATTTTTTATTTGGACAACAGAATTGTTGTCCAAATTGGCTTGGTCCAAATCACGGTGTCGTTACTGAGCATTTTGTTTATGACTAACTTAGTCATCATGTTGTGCAAGTGTTATGAAAATTTAGCAAGAACAAGTTTATTTC